TGTTCTCATGGCTCAGCAATGAGTGGTGTGGGAAGGTGACTTAGTATCATGTTCCTGCAAAATGGATGCTGTCTAGCAAGTAGGGATGGAGTCTGCCACATTTTATGCACTAGATCAAAACCTTTCCTCCCCCTCTCCCCTTTCCTTCAGTTCTGTCTTGCAACACTCATGCATGCATGTATGCATTTGTTTATTTCATGTGCATGCAGGCAGTATATGGTAGCATAGTGTGGCAGATGGTCCCTGAAAGATTCCTGAAAGAGCATCAGAAGCTCAAGGTCATTCTTTACTGCAAATTGAGTTTAAAGCCAGTGTGGACTGTATAAAACCTAGTCTCAAAACAAAACAAAATAAAATAAAACAATAGCTAGTGTTAGCTTCCAGTTTCTGGTGCCATAGGCAAACATTAGCTTCTGCTTCGAATTGTGTATACAATAATGGACAAATCACTCACACTTACTATCTGTGGGCCTAGCTCTGAGTACTTGGAATCTTGCTACCCCCACAAACACTGCAGTTAGAGGAGGGAGCTAGGCAAGTGTGCACCCCAGACTGCACAGCTGTGCCTGGAAGGTCCAAGTCCTTGATGCGATCTCCCCTCCTGCAAGTTTATGCTCCAAATCTAGATTTAGAGACTGCCTTCCTGCTGGACCCCCGCTCTCTCGCACCTCCGCTGAGGTGTTTTCTGTTGCCCTCCACAGGATCTTTGTCATTTCCTCCCTGATTCTCCTGGCCACAAAGAATCACTCTGGGGTTTCCTTGCAGGGGGAAGCCCAGCAGCCTGGAGGCAGCCCATGGAGAATGCAGCTATGGGCCACTCTGGGCATTTGGCTCCTTAGCAGCAGAGCACAGGGTGCCAGGGGGTAGAGTAGTGAATCTCCTGGCATGGGTGCTAAGCCAAGGTCTTCCGGTCTCCCTCTGGTTCTGTGGGCCAAGACAAGCCCTTTGTGGGACCCAGTTTTCCTGCCTGTCAGAAGAGGGGTAGTAAGAAAAGTTCTGGAGTGGCCTTCAGGTTGGGAGGTTACATCAGATGACAGGTTGACCTACCTACCTCTCCTCTTGGGCTAATATATGGATATAATGACTGTGGCTAGAAAAGGACTTGGGCCACAGAGATGGATAAGGGGGCAGATGAAGAAACTGGTCACTCCTGTTTCAGTAGTCACCTCTAGCTTTGTGCCTCTTCCAGGTTGGTGCCCAACCCCTGTTGAAACTGGGCTCTGGGCGCAACAGGAGTCTAGACAAGACTTTAAAAATAAACATGTATTCATTGAGTGTGTGTGTGTGTGTGTGTGTGTGTACTTGTGCCTGTAGGTCAGAGGACAGACAACTCTTAGAGTCTGTTCTCTCTTACCGCGTAGGTGTGGGGAGTAGACCTCAGGCCATTGGGCTGGGCACCAAGTACCTCTATGTACTAAACTATCACACCTCATCCAGCTTCATTTTTTTGGTATTGGACCCCAAAACAATAGGTAAGGACTTTCTTTCCTCCTCCCACTTGTTTGTTTGTTTGTTTTGTTTTGTTTTTCGAGACAGGGTTTCTCTGTGTAGCTTTGGAGCCTATCCTGGCACTTGCTCTGTAGACCAGGCTGGCCTCAAACTCAGAGATCCACCTGCCTCTGCCTCCCAACTGCTGGGATTAAAGGAATGCATCACCACTGCCCCACTTAAAAAAAACAAAACAAAACAAAACAAAGGTCTTAAAAGAAAAAACCAAGTTTATTTTGAGGCGGAACTTCCCCAACTTGCTCAGCTTGGGCCTTGATATGGTTCTGCAGCTCAGGTCAGCTTTGAACTTCCTCTCTTCCTGTGGAATCAGTTCTCGTCAGGCATTTCTGGGCCTGGCGTGAGCATCCTGCTATGATTGAACATCTGGGTGCCCCCCCCATCCCTATGTAGAAATCCTGTCCCCAAGCTGATAGTATTAGGAAGAGGGAGCACCTGTGGGAGATGGGTGGGTCTCAAAGACTGAATCCCCACAACAGGAGATAATGCCCTTATGAAATAGGCTCAAAGAACTCATTTGTCTTTTCTGTCATTCAAGGCCACGGCAGAGTCATCTATGAACCGGAAGTGGCTTGCCTGACTCAGAATCTGCCAGAGCCTTGCTATTGGGTTTCCTATTCTCTAAAATTGGGAGACAGACTTCTTTTGTTTACAAGCCCCTCCATCCATGAGATTTGTTCTGGCAGCCCAGACAAAGAAACATCCCAAAGCCAAGAAGGCACTACCAGACAGCAATGTGTGTGGCCTCCCCCAGCATCCTTGATATCCAGCCTTGCCCAGCTTGCTCCTTGTCCTCCCCCACAGGAAGGTGGTGATTGGGACCAGGAGCTGGGGAGCAGAAGAGACTTGTTGCTAAGCAGATGTTCCTTTGGGCACAGCGAGACACTCACCCTGTGCCTAACTAAGGAAAGTGCTTCAGCTCTTGTATATGTTCTCCCATCTGCACAGTGAAAAATGACACAGGTCCTGTGACCTTCAGAGATTTCTAACTCTCCAAGTGCCAAGGCATGGGCCCCTGACTTCTGTCCTCCTGGGTCCCCAGACCCCAGCCTTGAGTAAATGGAAGCCTACCTCACTGTTGGGGAATTCTGTCTGGGTTTAACAGACCCCAGATGCTGTCTTGACGCAGGAGAAACCAGAGGAGGGAGGCAGGGGGATGCCTGTTTCCCACAAAGACTCAGGACCAGGGTCTCCTTTGCAGACTTATGCACAAGGATGGAGACGAAGAACTCCAGGATTGGCAGAGGAGCAAGGTCCCCCACGTGGAGAGGCACACTCACTCCCTCTCCCACAGGCTGGGCCAGGTGGTGCAGGCAGCTGAGGGGAGGCTCTTTGCTCCCACCTTCCCTATTGGCTCTGTAGGGAACTGGATTTATTTTCACATGAGAGACATGTGGAGGGAAGTCTTCTTCACAAGCAGTTCTGGGGCTCAGGAAATATTTTAATCCAACAGAACCACAGTTGTAGCATTATGGAGCCTAGAATCTTAGAGGCCCAGCATCTTGGCATGTTAGAAAGTGAGTCACAGGATTTTAGGTTTTGAAATCATGCTCTCCAACATGGCAGCCAATAGGCACTTGTGACTTCAGAGCATTTGGAATGTGGCTAGCCCATGTGTTACAATGTGTAGAAACCATAGGATTTTAAAGCTTTATATAAAGGAAAGATTTTAAAACAGCTCATTGGTTCTCTTTCCCTCTCCCTCACCCTTTCCTCCTTCTCTCTGTTTTTGAAAAAGTATCTTGTCTGGTGGTGGCAGTGGTGGCACACATCTTTAATCCCAACACTAGGGAGGCAAAGACAGGTCAGTCTCTAAGTTTGAGGCCAGTCTGGTCTACACAGAGTTCCAGGACAGCCAGGGATACACAGAAAAACCCTGTCTTGAAAAACAAACAAGCAAACAACAAAAAGTAGGCCTTAAACTATTAGCCACTGATGACTTTGAATTTATGAAGGTCTGGAGGTTTCTACCTCTGGAGGACAGGATTATTGGTCTGTGCCATCACATGGGCTAGTCACATTCCAAATGCTCGGAAGTCACAAGTGCCTAGTGGCTACAGTATTAGAGAACATGATTTCAAATCCTAAAATCCCATTTATAATTTCTTTATATTAATTACATTTCAAGCTGATACTATTTTGAATATGTTTGGTAAAACACAGTGTGTTTAACATTAATTTTACCCATTTCTCTTGATGCTTAAAAATGCCATTACCCAGCCCATTCCCTATGGAGGGATACTATTGTAGCCCAGATACAGCAAGGAGGGCCTAGGCCCTCCCCCAAACGATTTGACAGACTTTGAAGGTCCTGGTGGGAGGCCTCACTATCCCTGGGGAGGAGTTGGGGGGTGGGGTGGGAGGGTTGGTGGGGAGCATAGGAGAATGGAGGGTGAGAGCAAGGGAATGGGGGGGGTGGATATGTAAATATGAGTAGCAATTAAAGGATAAAAAAATGCAAAAAAAAAAAAAAAATGCAGTTTCCTGGCAGTGGTAGAGCATGCCTTTTATCCCAAGGCCCAGGAGGTAGAGGCAGATGGGTCTCTCTGAGTTTAAGGTAAGCTTGGTCTACATTGCAAGTTCCAGGACAGCCTAAATAGAGAGACCTTATTTCAAAAACAAAACAAACATACAAAGTGGCTACCAGAGGAATAAAAAATGTATATGTGGGGACTAGAGAGAGAGCTCAGCAGTTAAGAGCATTGGCTGTTCTTCCAGATAATCTGGGTTCAATTTCCAGCATCCACATGGCAGCTCACAATAGCCTATAACTCCACCTCCAGAGATCCAACACCCTCACACAGGCAGGCAAAATCACATGACATAAAAAACAAATCATTAAAAAAAGTTTATATTTGGTCTACCTGAATTATATTTATTCTTTGATAAGTATGCATGTGTGTGTATGTGACACATGCGTCAAACTTTTTTTTTTTTGAGATAGGGTCTTTCATTAAACCCCTAGCTCCAAAAAACAAACAAACAAACAAACAAACAAAAAACAGGTGGTGGTAGCACACACCAAAACTTTTAATCCCAGCACTCTGAAGGCAGAGGCAGGCCAATCTTGGTGAGTTTGGGACTAGCCTGGTCTACAGAGCAAGTTCCAGGACAGCCAGAGCTACACAGAGAAACCCTGTCTTGAAAAACTAAAACACGAAACAAACAAAATACCCTTGTAATTTATTTATTGGCTAAGAGTAGCTGGTCCTGGGAACCTCCTGTGTCTGTCCCTTCAACCCCACCCCAGTCTGTGCTGTCCCCTGTGCCCAGCTTTTGATGTGGCTACTGGGATATGAATTCAGGGTCTCATGCTTGCAAAGCAAGGACTTTATCTGCTGAGCCATTGCCCCAGCTCCTTTTCTTTTCCCTTCCCTTCCCTTCCCTTCCCTTCCCTTCCCTTCCTTTCCCTTCCCTTCCCTTCCCTTCCTTCTCTGCCCCTCCCACCACCACCCTTGCGTGAGCATTGAATCCAGGGCCTCACAACTGCTAGGTTAGCCCTCTTAATCACAGATGTGTATTCTAGGTTTTGCTATGTTTCCAATGACAGAGCAATTTTAGAACCTGAGGATCCCATATTAGAACCCAAGACTCATAAAGACATGGCACTTCAGAACTTTTCATGTGACCACAGCCAAAGGACCAAGAAGCAATGTCCGTCAGAACTTAAGATGACAGAATTTTAGAGGTAGGTTTCCAAATCTTTACATCAGACTGTGGCTCTGATACTTCATGCTTGTCACTCATTGGCCCAGTAGGCCTCCTCTCCAGGAAGGACAGAGTCCCACCTGTTCTTCCCACAGAAGTCACTGGTCTCCAGACTGCAGGGCATCCCTCAACACATGTCTCCGATGGTAGGCTTCAGCCCTCCCACTGGGACCTTCTGCTCCTGATTACTCTCTCTGCCTTTCTTTCCTCAGAAGAACTGGTCCTGGGATGCCAGGAAGGGGTTGGGATCCTTCAGGCCTTTTCATTGATTACCTCATTTTTTCACCCAGGGAACCAGCTGGCCCTTTGGAATCTCTAGTGTCTACCGGCTGCCAGCTCCAGGAAGGCATTTGAAGACAGGTGATATTGGGCAAAAATATCAGGGACAAGGCTGACTATGCTAGACAAGATGCTAAGCAGTTTCCTAATATCTCACTTAACCTTTATAGTAATGTAAGAAGGAAACCATCACTGCTGTTCAATTAACAACTGGAACTAAGGCAAATGACTGTAAGGGAGGGCTGACCCTGGATTCTGGTCCTCTAAACTAAGCACTAGCTGGAGGGCACCTTGCAGGGAAAGGGTTGATCTTGGGTACCCTGAGTGTGACTGCATGTCTTAAGTGCTTTGTGTGGACATCCCTGTCATGTCCCTCACTTTCTCCTCTCTGGTCTCCGGCTCTTACTCCATCTCACATCCAACCCCAACAGGTGGACACATAGAGATAAGAATGCTCACCTTGAAGCAGGCAGGCAGGGTAAAACAAAGGGCTGGCCATATTGCTGGTTCCCATCAGGGTCCACAGTGCTTCTCTTCCCATATGGTACCTCTCCAAGGATCCAGGAATAGAGTCTAGACTTGATCCTGGGGAATCTATGTTGGGCAGGTGACACCCCCCTCCCCCACCCAGTGTCCCATTCACACAGACCAGGTAAGATCTGGCAACCAGGGTCCTCCTCTGGTCTAGATTCCACTTTATGGTGCTCTGACAGATTCCTACTCTCCCTGGACCTTAGTTTCTGTTTCTTTTTCTTAAAAAAATTGTCAGGCTGTGGTGGCAACTGCCTTTAATCCCAGCACTCCGGAGCAGAAGCAGGCAGTCTCTGAGTTTGAAGCCAACCTGATCCACAGAGCAAGTTCCAGGACAACCAGGGCTTCCCAGTGACACTCCTGTCTCAAAAAACCAAAAAAAAGTTTATTTTACATTATGAATGTTTTGTCTGCATACATCTACGTACACCATGTGCTAGTGTCCATGGAAACCTGAAGAGGGAGGGTGTATGATCCATGGGTGCAGGAACTGAACTCTGGATCTCTGTAAGAGCACCAAGTGCTCTTAACAGCAGAGCTGTCTCTCCAGCCCTCTCCATCACTTTGAGGAGAATTGGAGTACTTCAGAAGTCAGAAACTAGATGCTAGCAGAGTCAAGGGGAATATCGAAGATAAATAGGTGCCGGAATGGGGGAGTAGCTTAGTGACAGTGAGCTTGTCTAGTATGTGTGAGGCCTGGTGTTCCATGGCTAGCACTCACTGTACAACAAAATGAAAATGAGCTGAGAGGGCCAGGAGGCTAACTCAGCGGTTGCCTAGCATGCATAAAGCCTTGGGTTCCAGGGGATTTGGTTCCTCAGGACTGCATAAAAACAGATGTGGTGGTGTGGGCCTATATGTTAGCACTTAAGAGGTAGAAGGAGGAGATTCAAAAGTTCAAAGTTAGCCGGGCGTTGGTGGCGCATGCCTTTAATCCCAGGACTCGGGAGGCAGAGGCAGGTGGATCTCAGTGAGTTCGAGGCCAGCCTGGTCTCCAGAGCGAGTGCCAGGATAGGCTCCAAAGCTACACAGAGAAACCCTGTCTCGAAAAACAAAAAAAAAAAGTTCACATTTCCTCCAGACCACCCAGCCAATCTGAGGCCAGCCTTGACTACACGAAGCCCTGCCTTAAATAAACAACAACAACAACAACAACAACAAACTCTCAGCTCTGGTTGCTCCAGGGTCTGCAGCCTATTGGCTGGGCTCCTCCACCTGGCCTGTCCTCAGGGAACCTTGAGTCACGTGCTGATAACATTCACTTAGAAACCTCTGGCCCCTGAGAATGTTTTTCTTTGTCTTTGTCAGAGTGTAATTGGAGCATAACAATGGCACTGTTAAAGGGGGAATTAGCGGATCTGCAGAAGCCACGTTTTCTCGCTGGCTTGACGTTGCTCTTGTTTTCTTCCCCTCCCTCCCACTCATCTTCCATCTCAAAACAAACTTGTTTCCAAAACATTGCATTTTATATCTATTTTCCACTGGATAAGCTGCCCATTTTACAGGTTGTCTTCGCCATTTGCTCTCTCTCTCTCTCTCTCCTCTCTCTCCCTCCCTCCCTGTGGGGGGGGGGGCTGTTACACCATGTGGTCAATGCTGTAATTATGGTGACCATGTTCTCCAAACCACAGATCAGGTCACATGGTCCCACACAGGCTATTTTCTGCCTCCCCTGCAGTCCAAACATAAAATCATATGTAGTTATACATTCATCAAATCACCTTACTTTTTTTTTAAAAAGCAAACGACAGGGACTTTGGATTATCCTTGACAAATCCCACTATCTTCATAGGAAATCATTAAAACAGTGATCAAGATCTACACAGACCTCTAGGCAGCTCGAGGTTTCCTGGATGAGGTGCTGTGGACATTAGGTTTTGAAGGCTGAACAGGTTTGCAGACAGAAGGATGCTCAGTGTTTACTCTGGACAGGACCCATTCTTCCTGCTTTAAAGAAACCCAGTTTAGGAACTGGTGAAGCTGGCTGAAAAGGCTAGGGTCATCGTTTATGTGAGTTTTGTTTCATTTACACCATTTCAAGGTCCACCCACCCTCGCTCACGGATTACCACAACACATGGACATTGTATTGTATCTTCCTACATACTTCCATGCCTTTCTCTTCAGTGGCTGATACTGTATATTACACAAAGGCCTTACCTTTCTTGCTTATCCTTCCTCCCCAGCCAGTTATTGTGTGAAGAAGACTCTAAAGGGAGCACCATTAGATGTCTAAATGAACGAAGGGATGGAGTGCCAGCTGGTGGGCATTTTGTTGGTAGACACAGTACCAGCCATGAGACAAGTACTATGCAGGGCACTGGAGCTCAGCAGGGTTCCAGACAAAGACCTCCAACGACCTTGGACTAGAGTGGAGTGCATTGACAGGCACCAGAAGGGTAGTGATGAAGGGGATGGAAAGTGTACAGCAGAAGGCCTGGGCTGTGTCAGGAGTTTAGAAAAAGCCCAAGAGAAAATAAAGGTTAACCTTGAGACTTACTGGATCACTATCATAGTTGGGCAGTGTGGCACATGCCTTTAATCCCAACACTCAGGAGGCAGAGGCAGGTAGATTTCTGTGAGTTCAAGGTCAGCCTGGTCTACAGTTAGAGTTCCAGGACAGCCAGGGCTGCACAGATAAAAACAAACAAACAAACAAACAAGGATTGCCATCATTTAGCTAACATTTATACAGTGCTTATCAACTGACAGATACCACAGGAAGGGCTTTACATATTTAATTGCCACAAAGCTCTTAGAAGCACACACAATTATTGCCCACATTGCAGAGATAATAGCATAGACAGGTTGAGAGGATGATGACCATGGCCACATAGTTTAGATGTGGCAGAGCCCAGAAAGACTGGCCTATAGGTACATTCCTGTAACAAAATCAGCAGCCTGGGGCTAGGCTTTACAGCTCATGCCTTTGATCCCAGAATTCTGGAGGCCCAGGCCAGCCTGGTCTACAGAGCACATTCCAGGCCAGCCAGGGCTACACAGTGGAGCAAGCTAAGGAGGCCATGCATCAGACAGCACCGATGAAGGAGAAAATGAGTTGAGAGGAGGGCTCATGGATGAGAGTCTGGGTTTGAGCTCACAGAAAGATGAGGAGCGATGAGTTCTGCCTCTGCTTTGCTAAGATGGAGCAGATAGGAAGTCTCAAGCCAGAAATGGAGTCACTAGGCCTCAGGAAGGGGCCTGGGGAGTGGTCATGAGGGGAGGGAGGAATAGAAGAATAAAGGTCCTCCAGCCCTAGACCTACATACACTATGGCTGGGCCTCCCCAACACACAGATCCTCACAGGACATCCAGCAAGCTGGAAGGCCCAGCTTGTGAAACCGTTTTGAGGCCTCAGAAGTAGGAAATGCTGTCAGGGACATGGGGTTACCTAACTCACAGGCTAGCCCTCAAAGCTTGCTTTGGACATGCATGCCCTTGACCTGACTGGCTCCCTGCCATCTCTTCTCCCATGAGAAGCCATCTTTCTCCAGCCAGCCCCCAGGATTAGGTTCAGCCCAGGCTGGAGCCAGCTGCTCCTGAAGGCTGGACTCAGTGCCTGACATCCTTCAGGCTCTTCTGACTCAGTCTTTCCTTCCTGCTTCCTTTGCCATGCTTCACACAGCTTTTCCAGAACCACTTCCACATGGTCCGGGTGGATTGTCCCCTGTTCTAGGAAAGTGCATCTTCCTTTCCCAAACCCACCCTAGCTGTTCAGCTCAGAGGCTGCTCCCTGGAGCCCCTCCCTCTCTTGCTCCTTCAACCCTGAGAGACATAGCAATGGCCCTTTACCTCCCTCCTGGCTCACTTTGGCTAGAACAAGGGGTGGGGGCTCATGTCCACTTGAGTTCTTTGAACACCTTGCTCCTACCGCCCCTGCCTCCTGAGTGCTGTGGAATTATAGGCATGCACTATCTATGAAGTGCTGGGGATGGAACCCAGGGCACCCTGCATGCTAGGCAAGCACGCTACCAACTGAGCTACATCCTCAGTTCGTAGCTTGAACATGAACTCCTGTCTTTTTCAACTCTTCTCCAACCACACAGTGTCTGGAATACAGATCATACAGGCAGTGGTAGCACACACCTTTAATCTCAGTGATCAGGAGGCAGAAGCAGGCACATCTCCGTGAATTTGAGGCCAGCCTGGTCTACAAAGCTACACAGAGAAACCCTGTGTCAAAAAAATCAAAAATAAAATAAAATAGAATACAGATCATGTTCATAGCACTGTATGCTGATGGACTGGACCTTCTAAACTGCCTTCCAGGGGGCTTGATCTGCTCAAGCTGCAGCAGTCCATCTTTCAAGGACTTCACACTGTCCGGGGTGGAAACTCAGATTGCCAAGAATTTGCTGTCTATGCTGTTTTTCCCTGGTTAAACTGGTGGTGGCTGAAGTATGTACTTGGAAGTCATATCCTGTCCATATGTGGCCTGCAGCTGTGGGCTGTGGCCCTAGTTCAGGCTCAGTTCTCTTTGACCACACTCCTTCCAGAGGTGTATGTAACATGGCACATATAGGAAGCAGAAGCTTGGTAGTTTCTCAACTCCCAAACCAGCATCTCTCTGTGTTTAGGACTCAATATCCTTACTCCCCTAGGAGACAAGACTAGGCTGACCAACAAGGACACCTGATCCCATTGGGGAACTCCTATGGGCCTGTCCTGCCTCCCAGCGCCAGCTGCCTTCTCTGAACTCTCCACTTTGCTCAATTGCCCTCCCCACCCCATTTCTGTTCCAATAGTTAACAATCCCGAGCCTCTCATGGTGCCTCAGAGTCCAGGCTGTTGTTTCCCATGTTTGCAGTGTCCTATGTCTGTCTGGTAATTTCAAGGACCTTTTAAGGGCTGTCAATACCTACACTTCACCTGACCCCACTTTCCTCTCCCTTGTAGGCTTGCTGGATAGCTGAGAGATGACAGATCTCTCTGGGATGAGAATAAATTTTTAGCATCGACTGTTAAGGGATCTCTGTACAGTAGAGGAGACTCAGTGTTTCCACCTGCTTAATGGGAAGAACCTTGTCCAACCTGCAGGCTCTTTGAGATGGGTGGGACTGCTGAACAGGCCAGGTGGGAGAAAACTTTTGCACAAGGCCTCTTAGTCTGCCTGCTATTTGCCCCAGAGAGGACTGATTAAGCTGGGAACAACTTGTTGAGGGATCTGACATCCTAGTAAACGATGAAATCAGTACACGAATCAGACCCTTACAGTAAGGGGGAATACAAGTGTGTTCCAGTCAGAGCGAGGGCGTGTGGGTGTGAAGTCCTGCCCTGGAGGTGTCACACTGACAGGTACCTGTTGTCTGAGGAGGTTGTCACAGGCTT